TTGCCTCTTCTGTTTCCCTTTCTGTGGTGTCTGTTTTCCATCTTTTCCCCTTCTGCATTGCTTTGTAGATACAGTGTTAGATACCTAGGTACCTAAGCTCCTATTCTCTCTTGGTGGCACTGAGGACTGAACTCAGGGTCTCATGCTTGGGTGCTCTACCACCCGAGGTGACCCCACACCTGCCCAGCCATTTTTACTTTGGTTATCTTGAGGATGGGGTTTTGCATAGATACTGGTCGTGAACAGCCTGGACCATGGTCTCTTGTTTCTACTTCTGCCTTAGGTTTCGAGACAGGGTTATGACTGTGTAGCCAAGGCGGGCTTGAAATTTGAGGTCCTCTTGCCTGAGCCTATAGAGTTTTGGGGTCATAGGCATGGAGCCATACTCCTCCGCTGGTTTTCTTAGGAAAAGAGATGTCCAAGGACAGTTCCCAAAGATGTCTGGAGTTTGCTCTGAACCTTGATTCAGTAATCTCCTTGTGCATGAAAATACTGCTGATTACAGTGTGTTCTTCTGGTTTTCCAAGGTAGATAAGGAATGCGAAGAAATCATGTGTATTTCTATGCTGTCATCACTTGATAATTTTGCAGAGATATGGTAGGAGCTGTACTTACTATAAACCAGTATTTGTTCTCACATGACTGTAGCTCAGTTACAGTGTTTGACGAGGAACACAGCATATACTTAACAAAGAAAATAGCTGGACACTACTAAAAGGTAAATGCTTTATATTTCAAGGTGGACATTTCAAACTTATTAACCATTATAAAATTATTGTGTGCTGAGAGAAAAATAGATTTTTCTTTATGAGCTTTGTGGTTCAAGATTTACATTAAAGGAACAGAAATCAGACTAGAAAATGACTTATGGAGGAAGCATGGCCTTTCCACCTGCTTTTAGAATGTTTGTTCAATGTTTGATTTTTTTTCAGTGTTTGAATTTTATTCTCAAATTTTTGGCCAGTTCATAGGCTTAAGATATTCTTTTTTTTTAAATTTTTTATTGTAAAGATACTATACAGAGGGTTACAGTTACATGAACAAGATAATGAGTACACTTCCTATTGAGCATTGTTACCCCCTCCATTGTTTTCCCCCTACCATCCCTTCCCTCCCTACCTTCCCCGAGGTTCTTTTTTTTTTTTATATATATAATTGTGATTAAGTGATTACATAATTTCCCAAATTTCACAGTATTGTGGAATAATGATGCTCATTTAAAGTCACAAGTTCATTCTAACTTTCCTGGAGCAAATTGTCTATCAGTCTATAACATATAACGGTGTACACATATACACCATACATGTGATCAGCAGCATGGGGATATTTAGTAGTGGTTCGACCAGATGAGTGGGAGTTCTTTGTTTCTTAAGTCCTGTTAATTTTGTCGTATCACCTAACATTTTGGATTTAGCATCCACTTATCAGGGAGACCATGTACCGTTTGTCTCTTTGCTCTTGGCTTACCTCGCTCAACATGATTCCTTCTAGCTCCATCCATTTCCCTGCAAATGCCATTATTTTGTCATTTCTAATGGTTGCATAATATTCCATTGTGTATAGATACCACAATTTTTGGATCCATTCATCTGTGGTGGGGCATCTGGGTTGTTTCCATATCCTGGCTATTGCGAACAGTGCTGCAATAAACATGGAGGTGCACGTGTCCTTATTGGTTCCTGTTGTTCAGGGTAGATGCCTAGAAGTGGTATGACTGGGTCATAAGGGAGGTCAATCTTTAGCTTTCTGAGGACCCTCCAGACTGCTTTCCAAAGTGGTTGTATAAGTGTACATTCCCACCAGCAGTGTAATAGGGTTCCTCTTTCTCCACATCCCCTCCAGCATTTGTCGTTGGCTGATTTGTGGATGTGGTACATTCTGACTGGGGTAAGGTGGTATCTCAGGGTTGTCTTTATTTGCATTTCCTTCACCACCAGGGATGATGAACATTTCCTCGGCTTAAGATATTCTTTCAGGGTGCTTTGCTCATTTTGGTATGGAAGTCCTCTTGGCTTCTGAGATTAAGAAGAAAGGCCATTTCTTTTTAAGTCTTAAACTAATATTTTCCAAAGTTGTTATGGCTTTTATTTTTTTTGCGGGGGGGAGTTGTGTCACTGAGCACTGTCCCTGAACTTTGCTCATGGCTAGTGCTCTACCACTTTGAGCCACAGCACCACTTTGTTTTTGAGTGTTAATTGGAAATAAGAGTCTCGTGGGGACTTTTCTGGGCTGGTTGCAAACCATGATCCTCAGATCTCAGCCTCCTGAGTAGCTAGGGTTGCAGGTGTGAGTCACTGATACCTGGCTTTTCCATACTTTCTTTAACCTCATTTTCTAAATTTGCAGAATTTGCTTTAAATTGTATTAGATGTTTTAAATAAAGTCAAGTACAAAGAAAATTAGCCATAATGCCATTAACCTGAGTCTATTAAGTATATTTTTTGATAGTTGATAAAAGCAGTGTAAGATTTTATAGACAGTGTACAGAGATTGTAGATAAGTAGATTACGTAGTGAAACAATAATGATATTTTAGGTGTTTTTCAGATATTTTCCTTTTTGCTTATCTGTGCCTTCTAAGCTTTTGATACAATACTGGGCACTCCAAATATTAATAATCCCCAGCCTCCTCCTGCATAAAGAACTTCAGCTGTGCTTCTAGTATTAGTCTTTAGGATCATTTAATAATTTTCAGAAGAAATTTAGGTTATTTGTGAACTTCACATAATCTTTATAGCGACTGTGTCCCTTGTTAATAAGGATGACTAAAAACATTTAAAAATAGGTCTTGGGCCGGGAAGGTGGCTCAGTGGTAGAGCGCTTGCCTTGCATGCCCGAGGCCCTGGGTTTGATTCCTCAGTACCACATAAGCAAAAAGAACAAAGCCAGAAGTGGCGCTGTGGCTTGAGCTGAAGAGCTGAGGGTCAGCACCCAGGCCCAGAATTCAGGCCCCATGACCGGACCCCCCTTCCCCCCAAAAAATACACATAAATTCTGACTGGTACTTTTTTTTTTTTTTTTTTGTCAGTTGTGGGGCTTGAACTCTGGGCCTAGGCGCTGTCCCTTAGCTCTTCAGCTCCAGGATAGCTCTCTGCCTCTTGAGCTACAGCGCCACTTCCGGTTTTCTGGTGGTTTATTGGAGATAAGAGTTTCACAGACTTTCTTGCCTGGGCTGGCTTTGAACCTCTATCCTCAGATCTCAGCATCCTGAGTAGCTAGGATTACAGGCGTGAGCCACTGGCGCCCAGCTGACTGGTACTTTGGTAGATACATTTTTTGGAGTCTGGAACTACATAGTAGCACCAGGCCAGATTCCACCTTCTAAAGATGCTACATGTGATGCCAGTTTTAAATGTTTTTTCTACAGCAATATACTTTTTTTTTTTCAAATTTTTTATTGTGATTAAGTGGTTACATAATTTCCCAAATTTCACAGTACCACAGTACTGTGGGATAGTGATACTTAGTTAACGTCACAAACACATTTTAACTTTCCTGGAGCAAATTGTCTATCACGGTCTATAACATTTATGGGTTCTATGAGCTTTGCGATACAGTTATTTCTTCCACATCGGGTGATGTGTACATTTCTTTTGTTTTGCATAGCATCAGCTGTTCCGTCTTTCCCACTTGCTCCTCTCTCTCCCATCGCTGCCATTGAGTTGCTTAGTTCATTTTGGTCAGTGTCCAGTTCAGCTAATGGGTCCCGCTGTTGTATGTTTTTCCCTGATTCCTTCTAGTTCTGTGTCGTCTTCCTGGTTTCCCTCCAGTGTACACATATATACCATACATGTGATCAGCAGCGTGGGGTTATTTAGTAGTGATTCCACCAGATGAGTGGAAGTCCTTTGTTTCTTAAGTTCTGCTAATTTTGTCGTAACACCTAACATTTTGGATTTAACATCCACTTATCAGGAAGACCATGTACCATTCGTCTCTTTGCTCTTGGCTTACCTCACTCAACATAATTTCTTCCAGCTCCATACATTTCCCTGCAAATGCCATTATTTTTTCATTTCTAATGGCTGCATAATATTCCATTGTATATAGATACCACGAGTTTTGGATCCATTCATCTGTGGTGGGACATCTGGGTTGTTTCCATATCCTGGCTAGCAATATACTTTTTATTTTTAATTTTTTGGTCACTCGTGGGGCCTGAACTCTGGGTCCCTCAGCTCTTCCGCTCAAGGCTAGCACTCTACCCCTTGAGCCACAGCACCACTTTTGGCTTTTTCTGCTTATGTGGTACTGAGGAATCAAACCCAGGGCCTCATGCATGCAAGGCAAGCGCTCTACCATTGAGCCACCTTCCCAGCCCAGCAGTGTGCTTGTAAAGTGCACACAAATACATGTTTACTGCTAACACAGTACTGTGCTGAGCACTCACTGGGGGCTGAGCAGGTGGACGTGACCCTTACCTCGCAGGGTTTTCTTCCACTGGGGCTCGCCATGACCACACCATAGACATGTCTGTGGCCATGCCTCCAGTTCCCCATTCCTTACCTGTGCTCATCTACACTCAGTGCTGGGCAGCTGGTTTCCTAACTGCTCTGTGCTCACAACTCCAGCAGTTAACCTGACATACCAGGACGGCATCCCTCATCCTCCCGTCTCTGGTGGCCTGCTGAAGCCTGTGGTCTGTGATTAGAGTCGTTATATTGCATAACAGATGCCTCATCTCTGTTCCATACCCCACCGGCAAGGCCTCGGTGCTCAGATGCTGAGCAGCTAACCAGGACTGAAGAAAAACATTAACCAGACTGACTTTGCACTTCAGGTTCATGTGTCCAACCGGTTACCCTTTCGTTCATTAACTTTGAAATACATTAATTACCTTGATATTTGCCTGCCAAAGTTTGGATTTTATTAACTATTCAAGCTTATGATTGAAAGAATTTGCTTACTAGTTATTTGACATTAACCTTACGTGTTTGCTGTGACCTTACTTTTAAAGGCTTTTATCCTTGGATATTAAAGCCAGGGTTAATTGCCACAGAGGATATAATAAGTAATACTGAGATGCTTCTCCTGAGGTGTGGGGTTTGTCTGTGGATCAGATTGGAATTCCAGCTTTCCATCAGCTTGTAGTAAAGCGTCTTGTAGCTCTTGGCTGGAAGGTAAGCTATTTACTGTCTTCTGGCTCACAGCATAATCATAATTTTTAAAGTGAGGATTACGGAAAACTTGTTTTGTCTTGGTGTATGGAGATGATAACATTACAAAATGACTCCGTACTGTAGTATCTCTGCAGACTTCTTCCATAATGGTTCTCTGTGCTGAGGCTGTTCAGCGGGACTGTTTTATATGTGCATAGGCCCTCAAGAGAGTTACGTCAGCCTTCGTGAGAGTAGATAGTGGGAAGCGTAGAAAAATTGCTATTTGATGCTATAAAGCTTTTTGCATTGTTGTACAGAGTATCATGGGGAGAGGGAAAACAACTGAACTCTACTAGAAAATAACTGTTAGGTCTATGGTAGGTGCAGCAGATAAGTGTTATCTGTGGTTAGAAAGTACAGCTGTGCTTCCCAAATTGCTTACTTTTAGTGACAGCCAATATCCTTACATTAAAGGAGATCCTGTGGGCTGCGAGTATAGTTCAGTGGTAGAGGCCCCGGGTTTTATCTCCAGCATGGCAAAAACAAAAGATGCCAAACCAAAAGAAAAAGATTCCTATAATAATAATTACTATTTTTTGCCAGTCCTGGGGCTTGAACTCAGGGCCTGGGCACTGTCCCTGAGCTGCTTTTGCTCAAGGCTAGTGCTCTACCACTGGAGCCACTGTGCCACTCCTGGCTTTTTCTGTGTATGTGGCACTGAGGAGCACTCTACTACTGAGCCACCTTCCCAGCCTCCTATAATTTTTATAGTTCAAAGATACCTTAAATATTCTGTTATATTATCTGTAGCACTTATGTTTTCTTTTTTCTTTTTGGGTTCGGTTGTGGGTCCTGAACTCTGGGCCTGGGCGCTGTCCCTCAGCTCTTCAGCTCAAGGCTAGCACTCTACCACTTGAGCCACAGTGCCACTGCCGGCTTTTTTCTTTTTGCTTATGTGGTGCTGAGGAATGGAACCCAGGGCCTCATGCATGCAAGGCAAGCGCTCTACCACTGAGCCACCTTGCCAGCCCCAGCACTTATATTTTCTTAAGAAAAGTTAGAACTTGAAAAAAATTAGGTGACTCAGTGGTAGAGTGCTTGCCTTGCATGCGTGAGGCCCTGGGTTGGATTCCTAAGCACCACATAAGCAGAAAAAGCCAGAAGTGGTGCTGTGTCTCAAGTGGTAGAATGCTAACCTTGAACTGAAGATCTCAGGGATGGCGCCCAGGCCCAGAGTTCAGGCCCCACGACTGACCAAAAAAAAAAAGCAAACGGAAAGCAGTCCAGAGCAAAGGTTAGGAAGTACCCATTAACCTGGACACTGAGCCGCCAGCCGTGTGCTGCCACTGCCACCGGCTCAGTGAGTGTGAACGAACGCCTTCAGGACGTCCATGCTGTTCAGCTACGCGTCTCATTCTAGCAGAATCTCTGTACAGGGTCCTGCCTGGCAGTTTGGAAAACTGGGAGTATATATTTGATGGATGATGTAAAAGTGTACTGAAGTGTCTAACTTATCTACCCTTCTTCCCTAGGAAACTGAAAATGTCCCTGCCGCTATGCTAGGTCTATAATGGGAAGTGTCACAGTTCGGTATTTCTGTTACGGGTGCCTTTTTACATCTGCAACCTGGACAGTTTTGCTTTTTATTTATTTCAATGTCAGTGAAGTGACTCAGCCCCTTAAGAATGTGCCCCTCAAGGGGCCTGAGCCCCACGGGCCAGTTCCCAGAAAGTTCTATCCCCGCTTTACTCGAGGCCCGAGTCGAGTGTTAGAATCTCAGTTCAAAGCAAACAGAGTGGATGATGCCGTAGATAACAATAACAGTGAAGATTCGGAAAAAGACCACCTGAAGTTCTCTTCTGAATTGGGTAAGTTGTATTTGATTTTCACCAACAGCCACACTGAACTGTTAGGCATTGAAAGTTGATTCCTTAAAAAATGATGTGTTGCTCAATAAACTAGGAATGAACCAGTTCTTTAATTTTTGTGAAGTAGCTGAGGGTCTGTGATTTTTAAAGATTTGGTTATGAGAGTTATATATTTTTTTTACCTATGACTTCAGTATTTGATGAGTAACTAAAAGAAACTAACAGGGGCTAGAGAAGAAAAAAATGAAAAAGGGCTGAAAGAAAATGAAACCTATAAGAGATTTTTTAGTTGCTCGGATTATTTAATAAGGGAAAAAATGGTTCACAGTGACTTTATTTTGCAGGCTTAATTAAAACAACAAAAAGCATTAGGCTTAACAATAAACTTGGGGAAAAATTAAAAAAAATAAAAATAAACTTGGATTACTTATACTCATACTCTCATAGGATTTTCACCTAGGAGAGATAAGATCCTGAAATCTTAGTATAAAATAAAAGCCTCCTTCCCTGTTATATCTGTTTAATTTGAAGCAAGGATAGCCGTTGAGCACTGCAACTTCATGCTCCACGTTTTGGCAAATTTTCTTCAAGTGGTACGTAAGCCAGTTAATTTGGTAATTTTCAAAACTTACTAAAAATGTAACTGTAACTCCTCTGTATATCAACTTTATAAAAAAAAAAAAAACCCAACTTAATAGAAAGCAGTTTGAGCTGGATGCCGGTGGCTCACATCTGTAATCCTAGGTACTTAAGAGGCTGAGATCTGAGGGTTGTGGTTCAAAGCCAGCCCAGGCAGGAAACTCCATGAGACTCTGTATCTCCAATAAACTAATCAGGAAAAGTTCTGTGGCTTACGTGGTAGAGCTCTAGCCTTGAGAAAAAGAAGTTCAGCGACAGCACCCAGGCCCTGAGTTCAAGCCCCAAGACCAGCACCAAAAAAAAAAGCACTTTGATTGTAGAAACATTACATTACATCTTAGGTAATCTCAGTCTAAAGGATTGTACATAAGTCTTGAGAGATTGAAAAAGCCATAAAACATAAAGGAACTGTTACCCCCATGTTTGATGATCTAGGACTTAATGATTCTCTAATACAGGAAGTGGCAGAAGTGATGCTAATTGCACTTGGACTTTGGTATACTTTCTAGTCTTTAAAGAACCACTTCACAGCTTTACAGTATTAATGGAGAATTCTTGTTTTCCATGTGTATTTTGGTTTCATTTCTATAAAGAAAAATAATATTGGATCCACCATTTTGAGTGAACTTTGTATTTGTCTTTGAAAGTAGAGGAATAAATTGTACATAGTCAAACTGACAAACTGAGATTTCCTAAGTGAAATATTTAATAGAAAACCCGAAGAATCTACACAATTACTATTAGAGCAGAATGAATTCTGCAGCTGCAAAAACAGTTGAATTTCTGTATGCTAGCTCCAGAAACAAGCCTAAGAGAGGACTCTAGTTACAGCAAGTACTTGCGTCAGCAAGTACAGAATTCTCAGGAATAAATGTAGCCGAGCGAGAGTGAGACACTGAAGCGTACAAGGCAGTGCTGGAGGACACTGGTGGACGCCAGGCAAGTGGACGCCCTCCGAGGCTGGCCGGGGACTTACTCAACGCTGCCAGATGTCAGTGCTGCCCAGAGCCGCTCGGTTCCTGCCAGGAAAGAGGGGAACATTTATCCTAAAATTAATATGGAGGTGCAAGTCCTGCTGATTGGACAGTGGTACAGACGCGTGGTACTCTTGAAACAGAGTTGGAGGACTCATACTTAACAATTCCAAATCTTTTGCACAGCTATAGCAATGAAAGCCGTTTTTATTATCCTGAGGACAGGCATACAGAGCAATGCAACAGAACCAAGAGTCTAAAATAAGTCTGATGGCATTTGTGCTCAGTTATTTTTCCAGAAGGATCCTTAAGAACATTTAAGGAGGAAAAGGTAGCTAGAAAAATAGTTGTAGGGCTTAGTATAGTGGCTCAGTCCTATAACTTTCTATCCTGTCCAGCTTACGTTCCAGACAGAAGGTGGGGGATGAATAGCGTATCTGCATGCATACGTCAGGTGTGCGGCCTGATAAACGCGGTTGCTGCATCCTGGGTCATGCACTGAACCCAGAGTTCAGTGTGCCCCAGTTTCTTTGGCTGGGAAGTCTTAGTTTTCTTTCGAACGTCTGTTAACATCTCGTGGGATTAGTTTTTCTTGAAGGCTTTGGAAATGCTGCGGGAGGCGGTCTGTGAGGGGGGGGTGGAAGTATGATACGGGGACTTGTGTCTTGCAAGGATGCAGTCTCTCACGGAGTGGGAGAGCAAGCGAGAGCAGTTGTGTTCAGCCTCAGATCCTGAGGAGATGTGTGCAGGAATCAAGTCCTGTGCACAAGGCTGAAAGCAGACTGCAGAAGTCCTTTATATGGAAACGTTTATCGGGGGTTCATAGAAAAACTTGCTAAGATTGAGGCCTATTGAGGCTTATTGGGATTTAATAATCCATAGCTTTTATGGAAAATTATCAGATTTTTTTTTTTTTGGGTCTGGTCGTGGGGCCTGAACTCTGGGCCTGGGCGCTGCCCCTCAGCTCTTCAGCTCAAGGCTAGCGCTCTACCACTTGAGCCACAGCGCCACTTCTGGCTCTTTTCTTTTTGCTTATGTGGTGCTGAGGAATCAAACCCAGGGCCTCAGGCATGCAAGGCAAGCGCTCTACCACTGAGCCACCTTCCCAGTCCCATTATCAGATTTTTTTCCTGGGTCACATGTAAGTTTTTCTCCTCAATACAACAAAATAATGTTAGGATTTATGGTTTGTGAGCAGCTGGTGTGTATGGTTAAGGCACCCTGCTTTGCACTAGCTGGATAGGAACTTGAGCTCAACCTCGGGTTACTTGAAACCAGAGACAACCTAGATTTGAGAAAGAAGGCTCTGCTGTGATTATCCCAGGGTGAGCTCAGGACGGGTAGGAGATGATAATGAGCAGCAAACGAAGCAGTCTGTCCCCACTCTTTGCTCTAACTGAATGCCGTTGTTTTGCAGGAATGATTTTTAATCAACGTGATCAGGAGTTGAGAGACTTGGGCTATCAGAAACATGCCTTTAATATGCTTATTAGTAACCGCTTGGGCTACCACAGAGACGTGCCAGATACCAGGAACGCAGCGTATGTTCTTTATTGCTTTCTGCTCATACATTTCAGTAACAGTGTGTTTAATACCACTTTAAGAAATCAAGAGGATGGTGTTGGTACTCAGTTGGCGTTTATCACACCAGAGAACTTCAGGTAGATGTAGTGTTATCTGTGAAGCTGTGTGGTTTGAGGTTGCACTAACACAGTCCTAGGATGTACCAGGTCTCTTGAAATTGGAGGTCACATGAGAAAGCAGAGGAGAGAGTGAGTTAAGCAGCCCGGGCCTTTGTTTTCTATAATTACTGGATTCATGGCAAAAAGGAATTAAGTTAAACTTGAAAAATAATATTCTACTCATCTGTTTTTGTGTCTTTGGAAGGCTTTTTATTCATATAGTCAGTCTTTTTACAAACAAACTTGTTGGGCGCTTTCTATTTGCTGTGTGGTCCTAGGCCCTGGAAGCAAGCAGTGGAAGACTTAGTCCCGGAGTCAGTCGGAGGAGGCAGATGAAGAGACCCGACCGGTCCAGTAGCGCATGAACAGGGCTTGCATGGGAATGGGCAGAACAGGCCCAGACCCCAACAGTTCTGGTTTTGCAGAGAAGAGATTCACATGTATAGGCACAGTGCTCAGAGCACTGGAGGCTTTTTTGGGGGGGAGGGGGAGGTGCAGGAGGTGCGGAGCCCCAGGCCTCCTTGCTGTGCTGGGCAGCCGCAGGAGCTGGGAGGGGCCAGACCTAGGAAGCTGTGATGCTGTGGGAAAGGCTTCAGGGCTTTGGAGCTGGCTTCTTCAGTAGTTTCTGATGTTGCTTGAAGCCAAGTAGCTGATCAACTAGTTAGTGGCGTGACATGAAAGCTCTTTGATGATCTTGAGAGATCATAGCTTACTTCAATGTGTATATTACTGGGCAACAAAATTTCAAGTGCAGAGTTTAAAAGCTGTGTTCTGAAACGGCTTGAGGAGGGCCAGACAGGCGTGGTGCGAGCGCGCTGCCGTAAGCCCTTGCAGCACAGTGCAACCCCAGAAAAGTGCGTTTACAAGTGTTCATCTCAGGCTGGGTGCAGTGCTCACACCTGTAATCCCAGCTACTTGGGAGGTAGCACTTGGCGAGATTGCGGTTTGAAGCCAGCCCAGGCAGAAAGTTAGCAAGACCCCTTCCCCCTTCTCCGTCCGTCGGCGTGGTGAGATGATTTGTAGTTGTAGGTGCAGCCGTGAGGGAAAGGTGAGGAAGGCATGGAGGGCCAGAGGTTTGACTCGCGGGGTGACAGTGCCCCGAGCGTAAGCCTAACGGCAGGCAAGCAGTCTTACGGAGTTACCTGCTGGCTGCTGCCCCTTCAGTCCTGGGCTCTCAGCTTCTGAGTACCTGGGATGACAGGCGTGCGCCAGCACCGGGCAGTCTTCGAGGAGCCGGTCCTCCCGTCTTTCTCCTTGCAGGTGCAAGGGGAGGGCCTACCCGGGCCGCCTGCCCACGGCCAGCGTGGTCATCTGTTTCTACAACGAAGCCTTTTCGGCCTTGCTCCGCACGGTGCACAGCGTACTGGCTCGCACGCCCGCCCGCCTGCTCCACGAGGTGATCCTGGTGGACGATGCCAGCGACTTCGGTGAGTGCCACGGCACAGCGGGCCCGCACACGTGTGCACAGAAGCGTTCCCACCAGGGGCCTTGGCTTTGGCCTGTTTGTTAGCTGCCCCGGCATCTGGCCTCTGAGATTTTTCTTGGCTTTAAAAAAGATCAAGTTGCCTGTATTCATCAGTGGACGCGCTAGGTTGGAACACCTTTGTACAACTACTTGACGATAACAAAAATAAGAAACTTAGTAAGAGGGAAAACGTTGAAGTAATGTAGCTTTGGAGGATGTCATGGTGAGGGCTGTGTGCCCCGAGGTCACCTTAAGTAAGTGCAGCAGTGTCTGTCAGAGGGGCACATCCCTCTATCACCTCTGCACGCTTGCTGGTGCACACTCGCCAGTGCGTGCACTCTCTGTCTCACCCGCCCTCATGCTGCTCACGCCTTCCCCAGCCCCTGGCAACCACTTGGCCAGCATGGTGCCATGGCCTACATTACCTGATCAGGCTGTCCCCCCTGCTCCCTCCCCCCCCCCCCCCCCCCCATCCCTGGATCCAGGCTGGCGCTCTGATGGTGCTGGTGATCACGGAGGCCAGCATCTCTGGTGTTCGCTACTTACTTCACACACCTTTCTTTAGTTGAGTGGCCACACACACATACACACACACACACACACACACACACACACACACACACACACACACACACACACACACACACACACCACAGAGTGAAAAACCCTCTAGTCACACTACTCATCCCGCCTGAGGTGAACTTGATCAGCAGGGGAGGAAATAGAAGGCATTAGTGATGTGCTCAAGATCCGCAGTTGTGCGGTGCTGTGCTGCAGTGGCTCACGTCTTCATCCTGGCGACTCAGGAGGCTGAGATCTGAGGACCATAGTTCAAAGTCTGTGAGATTCATAGTCCAATAAACTACCAAAAAGAAATAAAAGCTTGAAGTGGAGCTGTGGCCCAAGTGGTAGCGTGCAAAGGAGGCTCAGGGCCGATGCTCAGGCCCGAGTGCAGGACTGCCGTGTGCATTCCCAGGCCCGAGTGCAGGACTGCCGTGTGCATTCGCGCGTGTGCGCACTCCCCGCCCTGGAGCAGCTGCCCGCCCTCCCGCACTCTGCTCCTCTCGCACCCCTGCAGAGCGCACAGCACAGCTTGGGTGGCGCACGGGGACGTTCGGCCTGCAAAGCGAACACCCGTGCGTGGAACCACGCTGCTCACATCTCGGGAGAAACCTCGTGGGGAAAAAATTGGAAAGGTTAATAGCAATCAAAATATACCCTCATCACCAGTGGTTACAAACAAACCTTAGCATTTATATTTGCTAAACGCTAAATTGTAGAGTGTGCGCATCTTTTTGTTCACCTGTGGCTCTGAGGCTTGGTCTTGTTCCCTTGGCAAGACTGGAGCCCTGGCTCAAACCAGCCTCCCAGCTCAGCTTCTTGGGTGGCTGGGACTGCAGGCAAGTGCTACTGCACTGACTAAATATTTTTTTCAATCAACCCATATTTCCTTCTGTCTAGAAGAAAAATTTTGTGATTTAGTGTGGTTTGTGCACTGTGGAAAGAATTACTGCATATTATGGGATTTTTTTTTTTTTTGTCGGCCGTGGGGCTTGAACTCTGGGCCTGGGCGCTCTACTGCTTGAGCCACAGTGTCACTTCTGGTTTTCTGGTGTTTTTTTTTTATTGGAGATAAGAGTCTCACGGACTTTTCTGCCTGGGCTGGCTTTGAACCGTGATCCTTAGATCTCAACCTCCTGAGTAGCTAGGATGACAGAGCCACCAACGCCTGGCATATTATGAGCGTTGACCTTGATCTTTTAAAGGTAAATAACCCAGAATTTATAAAAAAATATTTAGTGTCTTTGGAAGAAAGGCACAATATTAATTGAGGGTCATATTTGCTATAAATTTTTTTGCAATAAAAGTTTACATAACTTTTACATAAAAAGTTTTACATAACTAGTCTGAAGTGGAATAGGATCTAGGTAGTTAGATAAAAAGGCATTTCCAACTCATTTGGTTTGAAAAGTGGCGGCGGCCATGTCCATTCTCAGGTTAGAGCGGAGACCTCGTTGGCAGAGCTCACGGCTGGTGCTGTGTGTCAGCCCCCTGTGCGCACACTCCCTCGCCTTCCCTTTGCTTCCTGCCTTCCCAGAGTAAGCTACGACCCTTCCACAGCAAAGCAGAAGATGCTATGTTTGCGTCACGGTTTGCTGTTTTGGATTTTAGCAATGGTTAGAAAATGCCTGCTGTGTGGCCTCTATGGGCTGAGTATTTATAGAACTCTCTTTTTTAGATGATTTAAAAGGAGAACTAAATGAGTATGTCCGAAAATACCTCCCTGAAAAAATTCAAATCCTAAGAAATACGAGGCGCGAGGGGCTGATTCGGGGAAGAATGATCGGCGCTGCCCACGCCACAGGTACAGGGCCGGCTTCCGCGCCCAGGCTTCGCGCGGCTGTGTCTGAGTGCTCGTGCCAGGCTGAGGGTTGTTCCAGGCCTCGCACGGCTGTGTCTGAGTGTGCTTGTGCTGCCTGAAGCTTGTTCCACGTGGGAAAGTCTCTGTGCGAGTGACCATCCTGCGCCCGAAGCGGGGTGTGGTGGGGTACGCACAGGCACTGGCCTCGCCAGTCTGCTTGCGTCCTTGTTAATGACTGCCCCTCAAGTAGGCTTACAGCCTGCTTGCACAAGCAGAAAGTACAGGTCCTTAGTGTGCAGCTAAACATATGTGCAATCAAATGCACGTGACATCTTGGCTGGTAAAAGCCAGTTAGCTGAGTGGGGAAGGGCAGGAAGAGAATCGAGCGAGGCCTCGCATGAGGAATTCGGGGGAAAGTGGGGGGCAAGGACGGCGCCTTGGCTGCGGCTCTGGCTGTGGTGGAGAGTGGTGCGGGGTAGCCACGACCAGCAAGGGGTGATGAGCACGGTGCTCCCCGTACGGGGTGCCGAGGCGGGGCCCCGAGTGGTGAAGCGTCTGGCCTGTGCTTCGCCTCCTCAGGGGAGGTGCTGGTGTTCCTGGACAGCCACTGCGAGGTGAACGTGGCATGGCTGCAGCCCTTGCTGGCCGCCATCCTCCAGGACCCGCACACCGTGGTGTGTCCCGTGATCGACATCATCAGTGCCGACACGCTGGCCTACTCCGCATCGCCCATCGTGCGGGGTGGGTTCAACTGGGGGCTGCACTTCAAGTGGGATCTCGTCCCCCTTTCTGAGCTGGGAGGAGCAGAAGGGGCCACCGCCCCCATAAGGTAAGAGGGTTCCCTCACCAAGCCGGAAAGCCCCCCAGTCCTTCCTGAGCAAAGACTGAGATCGTAGAAATGACTCTGTCTGTGAGGAACCAGAGCCGGCGCCCACTAAACACCCGTGTGCCCAGGCTGTGCGCCGCCCAGCAAAGAGCAGCCAGCTGTCAGGGTCTGAAGATTTTATTGTTTGGGGAGGAAGACCTATAACTACAGCATCCTCCCTCCCCCCTCCCTCCTCCTCCTTCCCTCCCCCCTTCCTCCCTTTCTCCCTCCCTTCCTCCCCCTTCCCTCTCTCTCTCCCTCCCTCCCTCTCCCTCCCTCCCTCCCTCCCTCCCTCTCCCTCCCTCCCTCCCTCCCTTCCTCCCTCCCTCTCCCTCCCTCCCTCCCTCCCCCTCTCCCTCCCTCCCTCCCTCCCCCTTCCCTCCCTTCCTCCCCCTTCCCCTTCCCTCTCTCTCTCTCTCCCTCCCCCTTCCCTCCCTCCCTCCCTCCCTCCCTCTCCCTCCCTCCCTCCCTCTCCCTCCCTCCCTCCCCCCTCCCTCCTCCTCCTTCCCTCCCCCCTCCCTCCCTCTCTCCCTCCCTTCCTCCCCCTTCCCTCTCTCTCTCCCTCCCTCCCCCTTCCCTCCCTCCCTCCCTCCCTCTCGCCAGCACTCCCCGGACTCCCTCCCTCCCTCCCTCCCTCTCTCTCCCTCTCCCTCTCGCCAGCACTCCCCGGACTCATGTGTAGCCCCTCCCCCTGCACAGAGCCTGTGCTTCCGTTTTGGTAATTTCAGAAATTGGGGATGACGCCGTCACACTTTGGTTCCTACTAGAATTTTCAGAAGTGTTTTTCAGATCGGTGTAAACAAGCTTCCTTTTCTGAGAGCTAGTTCTTTTGTCATTTTTGTTTTATCCTTGAACATTTTCACCAGTTACTTTGAAGTAGCTGCTCATCAGCACACGCTTCTATTGCAGGCTGTCTCTTGTTTTGTGTGATTTTTTTATCTTGCTGCTGTGCGCTAAGCATCCGAGTGCTCGCCTGCACTTTGCTTCTCTTCCACAGGCCACGTGGGCCAATAAAAGTGATGGTCCACGGATGGGTTTCAGGAAGTGAGATGTGGAAGGTTCGAGCCCCTGTGAAGGGCACCCTGGCTTGGGCACTCCTGAGCATGGACGGAGTTGTTGGGACTCTGCGTGCTTTAGGTACTCAGCCAAGCTCCGGCCTCCGCCACATTCCAGTAGCAGCCTCGTGACGAGGCGTGACACGCCGCAGCAGCTAAACATTCGGGTGTCACTAGCAGCACCGCGGCCCCACTCAGTGCGCCCACTCAGCGTGTGCGGCTGCGACCTTCCGTGCAGGCCCAGAGACCAATTTTTGTACTAGTGTTCCTGCCAGACCATCAAAAACAATTCTGGTTACTAGGTGGATTTCTGTTAACCCTGGCTCCACAGCCTTAGAAAAGTAACCTTGACCTGCCGAGCGCGTCACCAGCAGCGCGGAAGTAGTGAGTGGCCAGCCCTGGCCCGCAGGGGAGCGCTGCACCGCAGTTTCCTAGTGTTCGTGTTCCAGGACTGCAGGAACGTTCCCAGCAGTGACGCAGGGCGCGCGCGGCCCCCGCCCCACCGCGTCAGTACAGACGCTGCTTTCCTTCCCAGGTCACCCACCATGGCCGGGGGGCTGTTCGCCATGAACAGACAGTACTTCAACGAACTCGGCAAGTATGACAGTGGCATGGATATCTGGGGAGGAGAAAATTTGGAAATTTCATTTCGGGTAATTTTTATTTATTTTTGTGCTCAATAATTAAACTTTGTGTCATGAAATATGGTCCTTACTCCTCAGCCATACTTAGTGAATTGTCCTTAGTGAATTCTGCTTTGCTGAAGTCTTGGCTAATATTGCTGGAGAAAGGAGACGCGTCGGGGCAGGGTTTCCTGACGGCGTCTGGCGGGGTGGGGAGGCGCTGTCCTCCCCGCTCACACCCTCGCTGTGCCGCAGGATCCTTCTGCCAGGCTGTGGAAGCATCGCGTTGTCAAAAGCGTTTTCACACATGGCAGCAGATGAATGTGCCCTGGTGTTAGAATTTGGCCCATCTTTAGCTCATTTCAGAAGGACATTTCTAAAGGTCCCTCTGACTTTCTTCTGTCTGGCAAGACAGAGCTTGTGAAGTTTCCTAATCTCCATTGATGACGATGAATTCTGAGACTCCCCTTCGGACGCCGGCCACGGCCGCGCTCCTAACGCCCGTTTTGCCTCTGCCAGATCTGGATGTGCGGCGGCAGTCTCTTCATCATCCCGTGCTCTCGGGTAGGGCACATTTTCCGGAAGCGGCGGCCGTATGGCTCTCCCGAAGGCCAGGACACCATGACGCACAACTCCCTGCGGCTGGCCCATGTGTGGCTGGACGAGTACAAGGTGAGGCCGTGGCCGTGGGGCGGAGGGTGGTAGGCGGCTGCTTTCTTCCCTTGCGTCCTCCTGCGTGGTGAGCTCTCCTGTAGGCCCCTGCACGCTGCCTCCGCCCTTCTCCTCTCCCGGGTTGCACTGTTTCGCTCACACCTTTTTAAAGTGATTTTTTTCACTGGAGCTAGGTTTGACTCCTGGCTGGGAGGCAGGTGGTTCACACTTGCATCATGCCCGGCCTTTTTTCCTGTAGTTCTGCTTTTGGATGGACCTCGGTTTCCTCCCATGCAGCCTTCTGTGCACTGCTGCACGCATGGGCCTGCACACCCAGCTTGCTGCGTGACAGTTTTGGCTTGGCCTGAGCTGGCTTCAAACCATAATCCCACTGATTTCTTCCTTCACTAGTTGCAATTACAGGCGTGTGCCACCACACCTTTTTTTTTGGCCATGCTATTAGAGGGAAAGAGGGCTGTTTTCTGTTTCTTAATTACTCCTGCTCCCTCACGGGACTCCCTCAGAACTGGAGTGCTTTTCTTCATCTTGTGGATCTGAGGCTTCTGCTGCCGTTGGACCTTGCACACGTCAGATCTCTTTCCTTATTTCTCTTCTGCTTTAGACAATTTTCAGTTCTGTGGTTTTTTTTGGCAATACTAGGGCTTTTATTGTAACATCTTTATTAAGTGTAATTTACATAAGAATTTTGAACATGACACCATCACATGCCTGACAAATACCACTGGCAAGCCCAAGTACGAGTAATTTATGCGAACGTATGTATATCGATGTATGTACACAAACACGTATATACATACAGAAATATAAGTGTACACAGCTTATGCTAATATAGTTTTAAAGTATTGTAAAGCTAAGCACTTGCGGCTCATTACTTCTATAATCTTAGATATTCAGGATCTGAGGATCATGGTTCAAGACCAGCCCAGGCAAGAAAAGTCTGTGAGGCTCCTATCTCCAGTTTACCAGCAAAAAGCCAGGAGTGGAGCTGTGACTCAAGTGGCAGCACACCAGCCTTGAGTGCCCAGGCCTGTTTAAGCCCTGGTCTGGCGCATGCGCACACAAGTACTTTTACATGTTTCAGTTTTAATTTTCAGTATGGCAGATATCCATAGATAGAGACCTTGCAAGCAGAGCTCCTGGGATTGTCAGCAGCGTTTGAGAATGTGAGTTTTAAGATGAAATGGTGCTGAGGCTGAAGTGAGCGGGGTTGAGATGTCTGCCATCAGCCCGGACACTGACACCGACACCAACACCAACACCAACACTGACGGACTTAATGCCCGACACCTTCCACGGCCTGGCAACAGCACGCAGCCACCAAGGAGAAAACAAGGTCGCACTGTTCTCATGAGTAACACATCTTATTCTCGTCTTTCCAAAATTCAGGAGCAGTACTTTTCCTTACGACCCGATCTGAAGAGCAGAAGCTATGGAAACATCAGTGAGCGTGTGGAACTGAGGAAGAAGTTGGGGTGTCAGTCATTCAAATGGTATCTGGATAATATTTACCCAGAGATGCAGATACCTGGACCCAACGCCAAACCCCAGCAACCCATTTTCATCAACAGAGGCCCCAAACGCCCCAAAGTCCTTCGGCGTGGCAGGGTGAGCCATGTTCATGATGGGGTGTGGTAGAAGGCCCTGGATTGTCCACTGCCGATGACATCTGGGCGTCAGCGTCCAGATGTGTGAGGCTCCTCCAGGGAGCAGGACTGTCTGCAGCTAATGCCTTGCGCCTTGCTGAGCTCCTCACTGCTGGGATTCAGGCGTCTGTGCTTCTGGCGGTTGTGTCTGTCACAACCACAGGGTCTGCTGGGCGACGGTGGGCAGCAGCAAGGGGCGTGGGCCGAGTCCGCGTGAGTTCCAACTCTGCCGGCTGTGGCTTTCTGAGGGTTGAGCCATGCTGTCACTGCGCTTTCCCTGCCCAGTCCCACCACCTGCTTCTTGGTGGCGCCAGTTGAGCCTTGAGATTTTGCCCTCCGTGCTGGAGAAGTCAAAAGAGAACAATGTGTCGACAGGCTGGCTTCCATTCCGTTGCGTTTCTTACTGGCGTACGTGTTTGGTAGAGGAGGGCTCATCGTGCCATTTCCACGCCTGCAGTCAGCTGCGCCCTGCGTCACGGTTCGCTTCTCCCTCTCCAAGCCTCCTGTCCTATCTCTCGTTTCTGCTTTTTGTTGAGTGCGTGTGTTTTGGTTTAGGGGTTGCGTTGTGCTCGCTGTAGTCTGTCTGTCTTGCCGTCGGAGGCCTTGGTGCTGGCTGGTGCATGCGCAGCTCCAGCTCGGCGTGCGCATTACCGTCCGCTGTGTGCCGTCTTTATACCTTTTATTTCTGACTTCATGTTCTTGAAGATGGCAGTGATGCGTTCATGTCCTTCATCTCCTCCAGTACATTAGAGAGCTATACATTCTGCGAGTTAGGCTGCCGTGAAGGCTTCAGTATCGAGCATGTACTAGGGCTGGAACTTGGGGAAAGCACTTACCATTTCCACCTCTCACTGGTGACTTGTTCTTGAGTGCTCACAGATCGCTGGACCTTGGTCTTCCTTTAAAGCAGAGCAATCATGCGCGCTCTCTTTTACAGCTCTATCATGTCCAGACCAACAAATGCCTGGTGGCCGAGGGCCGCCCCAGCCAGAAGGGCAGCCTGGTGGTGCTGAAGGCGTGTGACTACGCAGACCCGGCGCAGGTGAGCCGCGCTGCGGGGAGAGGTGGCGTGGTCGCCGCTCGCTGCACATTGGGGAGGATGGGAGCGGTCGCCGCAGACAGCCACGCCCTGCGTCCTCTTTGCTTGCCTCCGTCCGCGTTGTTGGACTGTTCGTTACTAGTGCTTTCCTGTGTTGGGGACTTGGAAGCTGTGCCATTGTTAGAAATGGCAGGAGTAAGCTAGGCGCTGGTGGCTCCCGCCTGTCATCCTAGCTATGCAGGAGGCTGAGATCTGAGGATTGCGGTTCAGAGCCAGCTGGGTAGGAAAGTCCATGAGACTCTTATTTGCAACTAACCACCAGAAAACCATAAATGGTGCTGTGGCTCAAGTGGCAGGGTGCTAGTCTTGAGCTGAAGAGCTGAGGGACAGTGCCCAGGCCCAGAGTTCAAGTCCCATTACTGACCAAAAAAAAAAAAAAAAGCAGGAGTCGCCTGCTTCACTGTGTGACGTTTAATCCACACCGCTTCACGGGTGACGCGGGGCAGCCCCGCAGCCGTCTGTCTCGTCTCAGTCACTGTGTGGAGATGCATTTTCACATTGGCCGAAGCAGCTGGGGTGTTGGTGTCATGTGCACACGGCTTTGTGGTGTGCAGTGTATACTCTGAAACCCCAATGCTCGGCCCCTGTCTGAGGCAGCGGGCTCTGGGCGGCCTCCTGTGCGGGGAGTGGACGGGGCCGTGGAGTCCCAGAAAACCTGAGACCACCCCGGCCCCGGCCTCTTGGCGCTGCCCAGTTAGAACAGCTGCATGGAGAGCTTCGGGGTGGGGGGTGGGGGTGCAGAGCAGCGCCTCCCTTTCTCCAGTGTGACTTTATTCTGCTACATTGAAACGTTTCCGTGGCGGCTCTCACGCCGAGATTCAGAATAATTCCACTTTTTCTTACACACACACACACACACACACACACACACACACACACACACACACACACACACACACACACACACACACACACACACACACACGGCATGCATGTTGTTTCGTCCTGCACACGAAACTTGGTTGGTCAAGCCTTTCTTGTGTTCCAGATCTGGATTTATAATGAAGACCATGAGTTGGTTCTAAACAATCTCCTCTGTCTGGACATGTCCGAGACGCGCTCGTCAGACCCGCCCCGGCTCATGAAGTGCCATGGCTCGGGCGGCTCCCAGCAGTGGACCTTTGGGGTAGGAGCTGGTTTTGGGGCTGGGGGCGAGGCCTGAGGCCGAGCACACTCTGCCTGGAGCTGGTGTGCAGCGGTGGTGGCTGAGATCTCAGTCCATCGTAGTAGTGATTTCTTCTGAGCTCGTGGCTGTACGTTCTGCGTCATAGTCTTCCACTGTGCACCCAAAACCAAACCAAACCAAACCACTCAAAGCAGTAAGTGCGCTTTTCTCTTGCTGCTTTTTTTTTCCAGAAGAAGAACCGGCTGTACCAGGTTTCCGTGGGCCAGTGCCTGAGAGCGGTGGGGCCGCTGGGGCAGCCGGGCGCGGTTGCCATGGGGATCTGCGACGGCTCCTCTGCCCAGCAGTGGCACCTGGACGGCTAAGGCGGTCGTGCCGCGCTGGTGACTCAGCGGGCCACGCGGCCCCCGTGGAAGCAGCACGCGTGTGCGTTGGGAGGAACGGACACCTCGGCCAGGTGGAGCGGAGGCGAGGGGCCCTGAAAAGGAGGAAGGGGCTTTACAGACGTGAAGGCCATTCCTGAGCTGCTGCTAGAAGTTTCTTGTTTAGAGAGGGGAACTAGAGAACGATGTGAACTCTAGAGAGCCAGACTTACACAGAGCATTCACAGTTATTGACGCTTCTTTCTTTCCCCGCTGGCGATGGCATGGGTTTTATCTGATCAGAAATGCTTGTCATTTTTTTTAGAAGACTTCGTAGGAGAAGGTAATTCTCTTCTATCATGTGTTTAATATGTGCTAAATAGGTGATTTGAAAAATTGAACATCTTAACTTCAGGTGTCATAATATTTAAGAGGCAGTTACTATTATAAATTATTTTGATGATTTATGGTACTACATTTAAATAAAGGCTGTTGGATTATCTCGTAGTTTGGTTCTGCTCTGTTTTCTCTAGCCGTGGCCCAGCCTCAGCCGCGGTGTTGAGCAGATGAGCCTCACCGCGGGGCACCACACTTCCTAGCACGAGCTATGAATTTTCCATATAGGTGTAAATGCCCAGTCTGCAGTGCCGAGGACGGGACCCCTGAAAGACAGACGGCCAGTGCCCGTATGTGAACGCTCCACGATCTGTGCAGCGGAGAGAGAATATCACTATGGGAAGTGACAAAATACCTCTGGATTCTTCAAGACGCAGGGCAGGGGGAGTCCCACACTGCTGAATAGACTCTTGATTTTTTGTGGGAACTCAGGCTACCGCATAAGCCACACGCCAGACCTCTTGCTTTTAGTGTGTTTTTCAGAGAGGATATTGTACTTGCCCAGGCTGGCCTTGTACTGTAAGCCTCCTGCGTCTGCTCCCAAGTAGCTGGAGCGCGTGTGCCCCACCACTCCCAGCAGCTCACTGTTTCATCTCCAGCTACAAAGCAGTTGAAAAACTGCGTTACATGTGTGACTGAAAAGGCAGCCATGTGGCAGATTTAAACCCAGCCCTATGGGCAATCATGTCCAAGGTAAATGTTCAATTAAAAGGCATACAGGGCTGGGAAGGTGGCTCAGTGGTTGACTGCTTGCCTTGCATGCATGAGGCCCTGGGTTCGGTTCCTCAGCACCACATAAGCAGAAAAAGCCAGAAATGGCACTGTGGCTCAAGTGGTGGAATACTAGCCTTGAGCGCAAGAGCTGAGGGACAGCGCCCAGACCCAGAGTGCAAACCGCACGACAGAAAAAAAAAAAAAAAAGCATACAGTGTGAAGCCCACTATAAATATGAAGTTAAAATGAAGACATTTCAGTCAGGCCTAAACATGCATGCTGACACCTGAGCATGAGACAGTATGGCTCAGCTGAGAATGTTTGGTAATAAGTAATGTGGTGATGTGTTCAGAAGAGCATTCATCAAGAGGAAATGATCCAGAGCACATAATACCTGAAAACAGAACCTCTAAAATATGTATGTGCTGCTAAAACTCGACCAGCATGCAGCTCTCCACCCAGCAGTGGAACACACACGCCACTTAACAAGAGAGACTATTCCAGGTTACAAGATTCAAAGCTGGGCGCCGGTGGCTCATACCTACAGTCCTAGCTACTCAGGAGGCTGAGATCTGAGGATCACAGTTCAAAACCAGCCCGGGCAGGAAAGTCAAATTAGCCACCAGAAAACTGGAAGTGGTGCTGTGGCTCACGTGGTGGAGCATGCACTTTGAACTGAAGAGCTCAGGGACAGTGCCCAAGCCTACAGTTCAAGCCCCATGACTGACAAAAGCAACAGACAAGATTTCAACATACTACACAAATTCTAGCCATGCAAGGCAGACCAGAAATCAGCTAATAAGTTAACCAGGTCATTTGTGTAGTAGCTTATACCAAATCCCAGGAGATAGACATTGTCCAGGTTCCAAGGCCAGCCTGGGCAAAAGGTTCAAAAGACAAAGCTAAATGTGGTTATGTGCACCTATAGTTAGAAAACCTCCAGCTATCTGGAAATGAACACATTTTGCCATGGTCAAAAAAGGCCATTTTGCTAGGTACCATGGCTCATGCCCACAATACTACTTAGAAAGCTAAGCTCTGAGGATTGCAGTTTGAAGCCAGCTAGGCAGACAAATCACGAGACACTTTCTTCTAATTCACCATCAGCAATCTGGAAGTGGAGGTAAGGCTTGCCTAAGCAAGACTGAAGCCCTGAGTTTTAATTCTCAGTACCAATAATACCCCCCCCCCCCCACAAACCTACCAAATATTAACAGAAAATGGTTGAGATCAATAATGTAGATGAAGTACTAGCCAACACAGAGCCGATCACTAACCGAATGGCGAGCTCATGACTGAGAAAGGTGCAGAGCAAGAGCAGCCCCTGCCATCTGGGAATGCAAAAGTGGAAGACAAGACTGACAGGTTCTCACAAATGCAACACTGTCCTCAGGAGTTTCCAGTCACAGAGGTTGAAAACCGAGCAGCACAAATGGAACTAACATGGAGCTCTCTTCCTGCCAAGCAAAATAGAAGAAAAGACTTCAGCAGAACTCAACAGGGAGAGCTATTTTAAGCTCGTTTGAAAAGGTGAGCGAAAGCTGAAGGAAAGTCACGTTGTCAAGCCCCCTTACGCATGTAAAGGCTGTAAGGTACTGTGTTAGTCTGCCTAAAGACCCCACGATACCCAACTATAGAAAGGAAGCCCAGGGACCCCCTGAGGCTGAGGAGTGACCGGGCGCTGTGCAGGCTTCTCAGGCCAGCCCTGTGACCACGCCGAGCCACTTCCAGTGGTGGGTGGGATTCCCTCACAACACGTGAACTCGGGTGAGAGTGCCCCCCGTGTACATGCTGCACCCCCCCCCACCTCACACCATTTTTTTAACCACTTCACATGGGGGCCAGCCATTACCTCTGCTAATGTGTGCAACCTTCACATGCTCATAAAGTACATCACAAAAATTTCCTTTAAAAAGGAACTAGAAATGGAAAACTCATCAAGCCAGAAAAGTGCCTGTGTGGAAACACTACAAGGCCCAGGGGCCTGTGCTTACCTCCTGGGTGGGTCCTGGGTGAGGGCCTTGCCAATGCAGCAAAGCAGGGAGAGGCGGCGATTCCATGGGGAGGGAAGCGCTCGCTGTTTGCAGAATGTGATCTAGTAAGCAGGTACCTGGTGCCGCTCGACTCAATGATTCCCCCTCCCGCTATGATAGTGGAACAAAAGCACTCGCAGCCCCTTTTGTATGTGTGTCCAGTAAATGACTTGGGATACTCAACATGTCATAAACTGGGTTTTGCCCAACTGTAGGCTACAGAAGTGTTCTGAGCATGCTCAATAGATATATGGCCAGGCTGGGTGGATAGGAGGTTAGCACCTACCAACATTTTCAACCAGCCCAAGTGGGCTCTCTGGGTAGAGACAGGAAGCAATGGGGCTAGAACTGAAGATTCCCATCACAGGAGTGTGGCTGATGGGAAGCAGGCGCCAGAAGCCATCAGTCCTTCCTGCCAAGAACTTGGGTTCCGCTTGGATGAAGATTGCAGGCGTGACGGCTGAGAACACGCTGTGGTGACCTTTGGCCGATGGCAGAACCTCCACGTGGAGCGCGTGATGAGAACTGTGTTTGATCAGTGACTATTTACGTGGCCACAAATTCAGCTCTGCAGGATGAGGGGTGGCTCTTCCCAGCAAAGTGTGGTAGTACATAAGCAAAGGTGGAGAGAGTTCTAGAGAGACCTCTAAATCTACTCAAAAGAGCAAGGGAAGAGGGTAGAATTCATTCAGAAGGTCTGTCCAATCCAAGACTAACAAGACACGAGGCAATGTTTATAGATGTAAAATATTTTATTTGTAAATGGTGATCTTCTAAATCTGTGTCCACAAATTCCAAAACCCATAACACTCTGTATACTTCAAAAAATTCAATTTTTGCCAACATTAGATACTATTATACAGAACAGAAACAACAAAACCTGGGAGCACAAATACTGGTAGGATGTCAGAATTTGTACAAGAGAAGAAAAATATCCAAGAAACAAATTTCATACAGCTATTTATCAAGAGAAAAATATATACAATTGATTTATTCTGTAAGATAAAAATACATCATGCCATATACATTACAGGTTCCGAACTGCATCACTGGCTGTACCGACAGCTCACGAAAGTCTTCATTTCCTACTTAGCCTGTGAAGTGTCAGTACCAGGATTTTTAAAGTACAAAATAAAAAGCTAACCTGGTTCAAAATGCTGATTAAGTTTCTACAAGCAAACACAAAACAGTGTTTTTTTTTATTAAAGAAATGTAAACAAACAGTTCATACAAACACATTTTAAAATTACATCTTCGAAAAACCCTATTGCCGGAGTCCTCAGCTGTGAGCGCAATTGCGTCTCTCGCTCTTGTCTTTTTTTTTTTTTTTAATTTTTCAAATTTTTGTGTTAAATAGAAGGCTAAGGAATTAGGTTAAGTTCCTGCTACATGATTCTAGTATGTTTACGTGATTCTTTGTGGTCTAGTCAAAACTACTGCTGAAGAAAAAGCTCAGCCTCCATTGGGTGTTTGAACAGTTATTCACAGTTATCACAAATTGTAAGCACAAAAAACCTGACTGAAGAAGTAGGGATGCAACAATATAATATGAAAAAATTAGTTTAAATTACCAAAACAGCTATAAAAGTTGTAGTCGTAGCATTCGTTTTGTTGTGTAGGAAGTTAGGTGTAGAAAACAAGTACAAGAGACATGGTTTCCAAAAAACCCAAACACTAGGGTGAACTTTCGTTTGTTACATAATTGCAATGGCGTATTCAATAACACAGAATTATATTGTAACATCCCTATGACGTTTTATAAGCACCGAGCTGCTGCGGAGCCTGGGAGCATTTGGTCAATAACTATTTTTATACTGTATTTTTTTTTCAAAATATTTACACATTTGTACAAAGTAACAGGGTTTGTTAGTTCTGCAGGTAACAGCAGCAGCTTGGCTTTCTTCTAACTTTTATTTAAAAATAGCTTCATTCACTTATTCAATAATAAATACAAAAAGTTTCTCTTATTTTACAGAAATCAAAAACTACAATAAACTGACTCATGGAATCAAGTATTTAAGTGTATTTAGTGCAAGTTATTATCCCTTAGCTCTAGCCCTAAGGAAGCCATCTCGGTACATTCCTTCATCAGTGGTGTCCGCGGTCGGGGGCCGCGCATGCGCGCGGGGGGGGGGGGGGGAGGGGGTCCGCGCAGGGGGGGCTGCGCGGAGGCCGCGCATGCGCGGGCCGGCGCCGGCCGCTGGTGATGTCTCTCTACATTCATGGGAAGCCCCGCCGGCGGCCGCGCGGAGCCCCAGTGAAAGTTCTCCTCAGTGGGACGAACGAACAACACGAACGACACGGACGAGACGAACGAGGGACGAAACCACCACGGGAGGGGGGGCGGGGGAAAGAGG